CCCCCTTCAAGCCCCCGTGTCCCGACCCCCAGCGCCGAGGCCCAGGACCCACCTCTCGGGTCTGCGGTCGGCGCCGCGACGCTCGCCCTCCTCGGCGTCCTCGGGCTTCCTGCGCCTCCCGTCGGCTCTGCGCTTCCGTCCGAGGCTCCACCTCGCGGGGGACGGCAAGCTGCGGACACGGTCGTGGGTGTCGGACGGCCCGAGGACCCCCCGCTCCCCACGGCCCCGCGAAGCCCCCCTCCCCCGCCACACACACGCACAGACGGCCCCACGCAGCCCGACCCCCGCCTTCCGCGCACCCGGAGCCAGGCCGGGAACCCCCGCGGCTGCGCCTCACCTGGCGTCCTCGTGGCAGCGGCTCCCGTGCCTGGGGGGGCTTCGCGAGTGGTAGGCCATGGAGGCGGCGGGAGCGCGGGCGGGCGGAAGGCGGAGCGTGAGGCTGGAGCGCGGGGCAGAGCGCAGAGCCGGGGCGGCGACAAGCGAGGACGCAAGGCTCCCGCACCGGCGCTGACGAGCTTTGAGTGAGCCCCGCCCCCAACCGCCTTTATGAGGCTACCAAGCCCCGCCTCCCGACGCTCCCGCGCGCGTCGAGCCGGGCGAAACCATCGCGCCAAGCCGGCGGGGAGGAATCTTCGCTCGGTCGCGCGCACCCAGCGGATCCGCTAGAGCCGGGCTGAGGCTGTAGTGCCGCAAGCAGCCCCGGGAACTCACGCCAGACAATGCGACCAGGAAGGAGGAGCGACGCCACCTGGTTGACTGAGGAGAGACCCAAGGAAAAGGTCGCTTCCCCCACGGGGTTGAGGAGGCTGGGCCTCTGGGACGCTGATAGGACGCGCCTTCGCGGGTGTGGGTGGGTATTGGCGGGAGATTCGGACGCGCGCGACGCAGGCATGGGGGAGGGTAAGCGGCGCGTTTCCCAGTCTGGGTCGGGGTCCGTCTCCGATTGGTCCCGCTCTGGGTGGAGCGCGTCTCCGATTGGCCCCGGCCTAGGCCAGGCTCGTCTCCGATTGGCTTCGGCCCAGGGGCGCCACGTCCCCGCGCTGGCGGGAACCCGGACCCGGAACTCCGCGGACGCGGTCCCCGGATTGGGGCCGCCTCCTCCGGACCCCCCGCCGCCCCTGGGCACACGGTCTTGTTTCTAGCCGCGTGCAGTTTTGGCGTCATCTAAAGGCAAGAGTGGCCGACCAGTATACCGAGTTTTCCAGCCGCGCTGCGCTCGGTTCTGGCCTCACACCGGCCGAGCCGCCCGTTCCCGCGTTGCTGTCGACCTCCTGGCAGGGTCTGCAACGTCCCGCGCTGGCCCCGGTACCTGTTGAAAGCATCGGTCCCACCCTCTACCCGAGTTGATGGGGCCTGCAACTCCATGCAGATCTCTGACTCGGCAGGGAGGCCGCACCCGGGGCGAGGGCCCCCGCAGACCTCCACCTGCCTGTCCTGCTCCCCGCAGGCAGCGCTGCAACTGCAAGCCCGAGTCCCAACCAAAAGCCAAACAGGGTCCCAGCAGAGGCGCACATACACTTGGGAGCAGGTTCCCAGAGGTTTCTGCTGGGTCCAGGGTGAGGGGATGCAGGACCGAGTGTGGAACCAGCCAAGAATGGGCAGTGGGGGCAGAGGTCAAGGAGGCTGAGCCTCAGGAGAATTAGGACGCCCAGGTCCCCACACCACCAGGAAGGCAGGGCTTTTCACATGCTGCCCTCAGGACAGTACCTTGATGCACCTCCCCTCCCCGCCCCCCTTTTCAACTCGGAAAGGTCATCCCCAGATTGGGGCCAGCACATCTTGTCTCTTGCTGCCCTGGGAATTCCATAACCCCAACTCTAACCCCTCTGGCACAGAGCCAAAGGGTCCCCAGAAGCCTGTGAGCCTGGGGCCTGTCACACAGTGGGCTAACAAAGGCCTGCTTCAGTAACTGTTCACCAGACTTTGTTGGTTAAAGCAGTGCCAGACAGTGTGTGCCAAAGAATTACAAAGTCCCACGTGGAAAGACTTATAAGACCCTCAACACAGAACATTTGAGCCCACCTGTGTACCTTCCAACAGGGTTATGTGGACCACTTCCCCAAGAAATGTCCTGTGGTCAGGGAGCAAATGGGGGCACAGAAGCAAGTATTTACTGTCTGGCTGTTGGGGCACTCTCTTGTAGACCCTGGGGTGGCACTGCCCAGTGACCTCAGGAGCACAGGGGCTGGGTCAGGGTGATAAATGGGGTGAGCTCTCTAACTGAAGGTGCTACCTGGCTGCCCTCAGTGCTCAGCGGGCAATACCTGGGCAACCTTGACTCACAGCGAGTTCAGCAGAGACAGCCCCAGGTTCCCACAGGACAGCTGCAAGCACAAATGAACCCCCAGGGCTACTTACCCCTTGGCCACCAGTGTGTCTCCACATGAGTTCCTGTATCTAGAAGCGACCACGGTGATTTCACCACTCCCCATGATGTACGTCCACTAGGTAAGGATCAGCCACAGCCCCTTTACCAGGTGCCCAGATGGCTGCCTCTCACCCTGTTCCTGCAGGTGACCCTGGAAGGTGGGTTCTTGAGACCCCGGGGGTCCCCGGTTAGAAATTGGAGAGGAGGTGCCTACTGCACGTGCATCCCAACTAATGTGTTTATCCTCTGTATTCTGAACAAAGCATGCTCTTTTGACGCAGGCACGATTCCATCCCATAGATGGCTTTATCCAACACCCCCAGACCACTTCCCCAACTGTTAACAAAAGCCTGGTCTTAATGTCAGGTAGAGCAAAATAAAGTACAGTATATCACTTTAGACTAATATTTTATTAAATATTGTATCATCTGGCTACAACAGGTTTGTCTTTATAAAACTAAGTAGCTTCTTTTGTAGTAAAAATAAACCATCGGCCCTATCTTGGCAGCCCTCTGGATGAGGCTGAGCCTGGCTCCACCTGCTAAGCACCCAGGGAGCCTCCCAATCCCTGGGGTTGGGTGCAGCCCTGAGTGAGTTGGGCCAGCTGAGTCTATCACCTCTGCTTGAGAAGCAGGTGTATGGATTTTAGGGCCACAGGTGTGAGGGCCTCTCCAGTAGCCACACCTGTGTTAGCTGCCCCTGGGACCTGGCCAGCAACTCCCTCAACCTGTGTCATCAGGAATTGGAGAAGATGCCCATCAGAGCCTAGGCCATGGGGGAAGGGAGTCCCCTTCTCAACCAGGCAGGCCCTGGGGCAGTGGCCAGCCCTGTGCCATATCCCTGCTAGGCCTGTTTTCTGGATGTTGATATGGCACTCTGGCCCTCCGCTCAACCCTCTACCCAACCCCCAGCCAGGAATCTGGACTTGTAGGGGCTGTAGAAGGCACCAAGGACAGAGCCAGGGCCCCTGCGAGTGAGTGATGGCTCCCTGGCCTGTCCTCCCATTGCCACCCCACCCAGGAGTGGCTGGTTAGCTGGCTGCTGCCACTGGGAAGCCCCAGGAGTGATCCCACACTGGAATGGCACTCCTGTTCTCCACCTCCACTGTTGGGCTCTATACAGGGTCCCCCAAGCAGCCTCCATGGCTGGGGAGGGGGCCCCAATACCACAGGGCCAGTGGCCTGCTCTGGGACAGGAGCAGAATGGACCACGGCTAGTCTTGGGTGGGGTTGGGTCTAGCCTGTGACTGAGAGGCAGGTGTGCTCTGAAAATTAAGGCAAGTGGCCCAGGTGAGGACCATCCATTCAAGGGGCCACAGAATGCTCTGGGAATAGGTCAACACTGTGCTCCCGGCACACAGTACCCGTTCCTACTTGAAGGAGGGGGAGGAGTGGAGAGAGGGAATGAGAAGGGGCTGAGGACCTATCTGATGCCACCTGGGGCATGGGATGTTTCCATGAGAACTGCTTTTAGACAAAGTCTCCAGCCTTCTGCACTCAGAACAGAGGCGAGAGCTCAGGTCATGCACTGTGAATAGGGCCCTTTGCCAGTCCAGAGGCCTGGCTGCTCCCCCACCTGCGGCTGGTGGAGGTGCACAGCCACCTTGCAGCTCAGCGCACAGTACACACGTCCAGGATGCAGAAGCGCGCACGGCAGGTGGGGCAGGGCACACGACTGGCCAGCCAGGTGTCAGGGCGCTGGGGGTCCTGGCGGCTGGCGAACCACTTGCCCATGCAGGTAAGGCACCACATGGGGCGGCAGTAGCACTGCTGGCACTCGCCAGCTGCTGCCTCCTGGCAGGTCTTCACCAGCTTCACGCTGGCACGCATCTGCATGCAGCCGATGCATGCCTCTAGCTCCTGGCTGCTCGGCACTGAGTAGGCTGGGTTGACCTCCACCAGGGAGGCAAAGGTCTCCAGGAACAGGTCTCCCAGGCTCTGGCGGATGACCACATTGGCCGCGTGGCGGATGGGTGCACGGAGCTTCTCACACAGCTCCCCATACTCCGTGGAGTTCAGCCTGCAGGGAGGGGGCTGCTGGGCTGGGCCCCTCTGCAGGGCGGAGGGGAGATGGTGCAGCTGCCCCACCAAGACCAGCCTTGGGGCAGAGCTCACAGACCCAGTGCCTTCCCACCCAGCCTAGGGACAGGAGAGAAGAAGTAGGAGCCCAGGCAGCCCCAAGCTCTGGTCCTGCACCATCCAGGTACATCCCAAGAATCCGTGGGAGGGAGCTCAGGAGAGTGGAAGGGGCAGCCCGTGGGGAAACCTTAGGGAAGCCATGCTGGAGGGCTCAGTGCTGGTGCCCTGCAAATGCCTTGCCTGGTGTCACATGAGCCCAGGAGTGCAAAACCCACGGCCATCATCTCCCAGGACCCACGAAGGCCAGAGCCCGCTCCCCTGGGAGGCGTACTCTTACCGGATGTCAAAGGCCTGCACGGCGGGGATGGCGCTGGCCACGTGAATGGTGAGGAGCTGTATGGGCAGGTTTGAGTCTGGAGAGAGCTCATGCTGCCGAGATTCGGTCACAATCAGGTGCACGTCCTGCTGCTGGGCCACGTGTACACGGTATGTGGTCACCTTCATCACCCATGTGTCTGTCACAATCACACGGGCACCTGGCGCCCCAGTGGCAAACTTGTCAATTCGTCGGAACTCGGTGTTGATGGAGGAGGCGACAGCCCACCATCCCGAATGTGGGAGGGCATAGAGTGCCAAGGTGCGGGCCAGCGGGTGGTGAGCCCACTGGTCATGGGACCAGTAGTAGATCAGGATGCAGGCAGCAGAGGGGAGGGTCACGGCCAGCAAAAGGAAGAGTTGCCAGGCCTCTGGGGCCTGGCTAGGGAAGTAGAGTTCCTTTTCTGAGGCTGCAAAGCACATGCCCACATAGTAGCCTGTAAGGGACAAGGTAGGCCTCAGTGGAAGTTGGGACTGCCTTGGCACTGTCCTCTCCCTGTGGTGCCCACCTAAGGGCCAAAGTGCCATTTCTGTACCCTGGGAAAGGGCTGTGTCCTCTCTCATCCCCAACCCTGGCCCTCTATCACAGTAACCCCGGGGCCTGGTCAGCTTCCAGGGCAGGTAGGCTTCACCCACCCTGCACCTCCACAGCTGGCCACTCACTCTTGCCATAGCAGTGGCACAATATGTTAGGGGAGAGCGTGTCTCTTTTTTCTTTAAGAGACAGGGTCTTTCTCTGTCACCCAGGCTAGAGTGCAGTAGCACGATCGTGGCTCACTGCAGCCTCAAACTCCCGAGCTCAAGTGATCCTTCCACCTCAGCCTCCTGAGCAGCTGGGACTACAGGATTGTGCCACCATACCTGGCTAATTTTTTTTCATTTTTTTGTAGAGATTGGTCTCACTATGTTGCCCAGGCTGGTCTTGAATGCCTGGTTTCAAATGATCCTCCCACCTCAGCTTCCCAAAGTGCTGGGATTACAGGTGTGGGGTCATAGAAGGTGTTTTCACTTTACTGCTTTAGTTTTGTATGGTAACATGTGAGTGTTGAAAAAAACTACAAAAGCCTAGAAAGGCAAAATGATCTGGTATCACCTCACACAGAGCTAGCCGCTGCCCATGGGGACAGGTCCCTGGACCAGATCTTGGCCTCTCAATCCCACCCCTTTGAGGTGGCATGTCAGATGGAGCCATCCCAGAGTTGGGAAGTCAGGTGTGAGAAAAGAGAAAACAAGCAGGTGACCAAAGAATGACAGGGTGTGTCAAGAAGACACAGGAATCAGCTTCAGGCCCTGCTGTACAGATGGGGACAACATGAAGGTCAAAATGATTGATTCAGACAGTGATGAACTCACGGGTAGGTCCAGTGTGTAGAAAACAGCAGTAAGAGTCACTCTACTTTACATCAAACTGTCATGTAACAACAGGTAACAGATCTATAAAGCGCAAAAGTTTTGCTAAATAAGTCAAAGATGAAAGGAGGCTGGACGTGACACAGTCAGCTCTGGGTGTGGCCTCTATGCATCACCCGTGCTTCCTGGGTTTGTGTTTCCTGGGTTCATGTTTCCATCTGTGAGAAGGGGTACCCAGCCCCTCACAGGCAGCTGGAAGGGCTTAGGAAACCCACCCACTGTCATCTGCCTCATAGGGTCCGCAGGCCAAGCAACCAGCCAGTCATGCCAGCCCCATCCATCTCTCAAGAGGGCCCCCTTTGCCCACCTTCCCTGCCAGGCAGGCTAGGGCACCTCCAGCTCTCTCTGGCCTAGGATTGCACACACCAATGGGATACCTCTCCTGTGTCCACAGAGCTACAGACATGGCCGAGCACTGGCTATCTGTCTTCCCAGAGCCCTGTCTGCCACATGTCCCTAGAGGTCTCCCATCTGGTGCTCCTAGTCAGCCACTGCCTTGTACCTCCCCAGTGAATCGTCCAACCGGCTAAAACATGGGCCTCCCAGAGGCCCAGCACGGCCGTGGACAACATCCGAACATCCTGGCCGCACAAAGGTCCTACCGCGGCCTATGCACCAGTGGGCTCCCAAGCCGGAACTGTCCCCTTGTCAGCCAGGTCGCCCCACACCCATCTATAAGACCTAGGACAAGGTCACCCTCCCGTATCCCCCCTGGCCCCTTCTGAATCCATCAACAGGAGCTCCTCTCTTGGCCACCATCCCCACCCACGAGAGGCAAGGGCCGCCCTAACTTGCGACCCCTAGCCACTGGGGCGGTTCAGGACTCCAGCCCGGGCCGGAAAGTCTTCCGCCCGAGGTTCTGGACCCGGGCTTCCGTCACTCTCACCAGCCTAGGCGGCGCTGCCCACTAAGGGAAGCCCAGAGACGCCGCCGATGGAGCTGGGCACAGCTCGGCCCGGGGCCCTCGCCTCCCCTGCGGAGCCCATGGGGTTTTCAGGCCCGGTCCCCGCGGGGTCTCAGCCGCGCCCGCCGCGGGCCTCTGCGCAGGGGCAGCTCATCCTCACCAAGCGGCAACAGCGAGTGGCACAGCAGCGTGGCGGCCGTGCGGCGCAAGTGGAAGGGCACGAAGGCGGCGTCCTCGCTGCCCAGCCAGCCCGACAGCAGGTGCTGCACCGTAAGCCCGGCTGAGTGGAACTCGCTGGGCGTGAACACGAAGCACACGGCGAAGACCAGGTAGGCCAGCGTGAAGGTCACCTCGGGGCTGTCCATCGCGCCCCGCTGGGAACCCGTCCGCGAGGCCAGCCGCCCCGGTGGAGGGTACGGGCCGGGACGTCCGTTGCGGAGCCACTCGACAGTGGCAGCCGCCGCCCGCCACCCCCGCGGGACTGCCTAGGGGCCGGAGCCCGCCCCCCGCGGGGCACCCTGGGATATGGAGTCCGCGCGCCGGCGGGGACTCCTGGGAGATTGAGTCCCACCGCCCAGCAGCGCGCGAGGCACTCTGGGAAAAGCCAGACGCCTAGAGCCGCCACTACAATCCACCTGAGGGTGCGGCCCCTCCTCACAAGCGAGGCATTTAGTCCCAATATTACACGGGGGAAACTTACGCCCGAGCGAGCAGCTCAGGCCCCCGCTGTGTCGCCCAGCCCAGTAACGTTGCGACAAAGTCCGAGATTCCGGGAGCGCCCATCCCAAGATCCCGCAGTCTCAGCACCCGACGCTCCCGACGTGCCCAGGGCGCCGGAAGCTCAACAACCCCGCGCGAGGGGGCGAGACCGGAGGGGTTTCCCATTGGCTGCTCTCCCGCGTGCAGTCCCGCCCCCGCCGGGCAGTGATTGGCCGTACAAGGCAACCGTCGTAGTTTGAATCGCGGCGCGGTGGGAGTGCGGCTGCGGTGGCCAGACTCCGCCCGGGACTCGGTTCCTGAACTCGGCTTCGTGAGCAGCAGGCGCGGCCCCCCGCCCTCCTCGCAGCAGCGGCACGGGCGCAGAGCCCGGCGGCGGGCGGCAGGTAGGTGGGCGGCCGCCAGGTCTCCAGACGGCAGGGCCGGGACTCGGTCCCGGCTCGCGAGGCCGTCGATCCGGATCCCGCCCCTCCCTTCTTTCCCTGCATTCCTCCCACTCCGGCCCCACGGTCACCGCTTCCCCGGAGCGTCCCCGCAGTCCCCGAGGCCACCGCTGAGCTCGCCTCGTCCCCAGGGCCCTCCTCTGGGTGTGAGGGTGGGGCTCCGGGGGCTGGGCCGAGGAGCGGGCGCCGAGTCTTCTCGCTCCCTCACACCCTCGGCTTCCCTGCCGCCCACCGGGCTCGTGGTTTCCCTGGTTTGCGCCCGCCCCTCTCCCCGCGCAGGCCTGTCCTGATCTGGTTCAGCTGGACTGCCCGCCACACACTTGGGCCCGGCCTCTGCGCCCACTGCCCAAAGTGCCGGGACTAGGGAATTGCTACACCGCTGGGCTCCCTCCACCACTCTCCTTAACCTCACGGGCATCTCAACACAAGCCTGGCTGGTCTCTCCTCTGCTCCAGAGCACCTTCCCACAGCCCCTAGTCAGTACCCCTCAATGAAGGCTGTGTCTCCTGTCCTGCCTTCTTCTCGGCTAGGGATGCCAGAAAGGAATCCTCTCGATTTCCATCTCCGCAGTTCTGGGCTGGCAGATCCCACAGCAACCCAGCACACTCCCCTACCCTTTGCCCAGTTGTTGAGGCCAAATACCTAAGCGCTGCTGTTTTTTTCTGTTTACTTTTCCCACTTCAAAAGTCCCACACGGCCTACTGGCCAAGCTAGGTCTGGCCCCTTCCCCAGCTGCAAGAGTCTCTGATTTCCCTATTTCCCTCCTGTCTTTCCCTGCTTACCCACACATGACTCCTTCCCAGGCTGACCTGTCGCTCTGCGCCAGTCCCTGCCTCTCTCCTCTTCAAACTGGAGCCCCAGGCCTCCCTGGCAACCCCTAGATCGGAAATTCTGTAGGCAGGGAGGGTGGCAAAACATGTATCTGTGACTGATGCGGGGACCTGAGGAATGGGAATGGAGCCTTTCTAGACTCTTCTGGGCCTGCCTGGAGGCCCTGAAGTGGAAGCTCCTCACATCTGCAGAGTGACCTGGATTTCCTGGCCTGCTTGTTTTCTCCTCCTAGCTCCTTCGGGCCTCGACCCTCCAGCCCTGTGGGAGGGGGAGTAACCACAGCTGCTGTCTTTCTTCTCTGCCCTGTGCCTTTCACTCTACACAGACGTCTGTATGGAGTTGGGGCTTCCTCTGGCTCTTCTGGTTTCTGGTCAGAATTTTCCCGTCTCCTGACTTTTAGACAACAAAGTGATCCAGCAGAAGTTGTGCGAACTTGGTTTTTCTTTCTCATCATCTCAGTCTTAAGGCCCCTTTAGCTGTTGGTCCCAGGCAATGGCAGTGCTGCCCGAGGCTCCTCTGCCAGGCTGGAGAGCGAGTCCCCTGATGCAGGGCAGGGATGCACTCTGAGGCTTTCTCTGCCCTGCTTGGCAGAGGACATCTGTATAAGGTGTGAGCTCCAGGGTGCTGACCGCACTTGTGTGGAGACATCTTCCCTGCAGCACCATAGGCAGCATTGTCTCTGGGTCATGTCTTTCTGGATGACGTGGTAGTGTTCCCCTCATGTTGACACAAACACGTTCTGCTTTTCCAGAATGAGTCTGCAGGTCTTAAATGATGAAAACGTCACCAGTGAAAAAAGTACAGAGAACTGCGACTTCCTGTTTTCGCCACCAGAACTTACCGGAAGAGCGTCTGTTCTTCGTCTATCACAGAAAGAAAATGTGCCATCCAAGAATCTGGCCAAAGCTATGAAGGTAAGTACGCAGTAGCATGTGTGGCTTGTCAGGTCACCCTGGGCCTGCTTTACTGGTGACCTCTGACTGCACAGCATTGCCGGTGTGACTAGAATGACTTGACCTAGTGAACAGGTGCTCTCTCCTCCTCACTCCCCAACAGGTGACTTTTCAGACACCTTTGAGGGACCCACAGACGCACAGGATCTTGAGTCCTAGCATGACCAACAAACTTGAGGCTGCGTTTCCTCTAGGTGATAACACTGGATTAGAAAACCGTCCCCAGCTCTGGACACAGATAGAGAAGTAAGTGTTGGTGCCATTGAATGTTCAGCAGCTTCACCATCTCTGATGGACCTCTCAGGAATGTTCTGTTTTATTCTGTCATGTCTTAGCTGTTTTTTCCTGACCCCTGCTCTGAATTTATGCAGCATGTGGCCCGCTGGTTAGTGGAAAGTCAATCATCAGTTTCTTGGAATTAGTTTTAGCTTCACCCTTCATTCCTGTGCCATACCCTTACCAACCAATGGCCTCGGTCTTTGTTTCTCTAACTTGATGAGTCAGCCTGACCCCATCTCTGGGGAAGGGTGCTCTGCAGTCTCCCTTCTCCCTTGCAGCACGTGGGAAGAGCAGATAGAGGCTTGTTGCTGGCAGAGGAACCGTGTTATATGCGCTCCCATCAGAATGTGGTTATTCAGAGGGACCGACCTGCCAGCCAGGTGTTGAGTGTTAGGCTGGGCTGGGCTGGGCACTCTGCTGGCTGACCTGACAGTGTTAACCCCAAGTGAACACCGAGGCTCCTGTCTTCGCCTGGAAGAAAGGGCCCTGGAGGCAGCTGCACCCTTCAGCTGACCTAACCTGTCTGGGCACCAGCACACATCTGCATCCAGGGTGGGAGGGGCCTCACTGGCACAGTTTTATGCTGGTTTTTGCCAATTTAACTATTCAAAACTGTTAAACAGAGTCTAGATGTGCAGAGAAAAACATAAAGAAGTCATAAGCTCTTTCTGTAACTTAAAGGTCGTCCATAAATATGGGGATGTTTCTCGCATCTTCCTCAGCTCTTCCCATGTTTCCTTGCTACTTTCCAACTTCGTTTTTGCCCTTTTCTTGCTGAAATTTGGCCAAATGAAATGGCAGTGAGTCAGATGTTCTTTTATAGATGCCGCTGCCCAATTGCCTCCCAGCTGCTGTGGGTCTGACCTGCCTCCAGAACCAGGGACCCTCTTACCTCTGTCATTTGCCTCCAGGGCTGCCCAGCAGTTGCTGCAGAGTAGAAAGTGGAGGGGCCAGAGGGCACCAGGGAGGGCAGCTCTAAATGTTTCTGAGCTGGTCCTTGGTGGCTCAGATGTCCCTGCCGCACGGAACTCTGCTGAGCTGTGTGCCGGTGACGTCAAGGGGATAGCATGAGGGCCATGTGGTCTCATGGAGCTTCTGGGTCAGCAGGGATCAGAGCAGGAAGCAACTGCTGGGTGTGACTGCCATTGTGTGGTCTCCAAGGATGATTGAGGTGGCCGCCCTGGGTGGCAGCTGGGGGGGAGAGCAGTTGTGAGTGATCTGACATGCGTGTGGTTCCTCAGCCTGGTTTCTCGGTTTTAACACTCAGATTCCAAGAGGAGGCAGAAGTGGGGGCAGGGAGGAAGGCCTGCGTCTAAGGCGTTGACCCGTTTACTCTTCATCCTACTCTCGCTGGCCACGGGGCAGCTTGTGCCTCCCTCTCTCCCAACTGTCTCATCAGACCTTCTTATCTGTTGGACTCTGTGACCCCTGCACCTGGCAGTCCCCTAGGAAGGTTGTTCTGTGTGTTCATGGCACTCCTCCTCCCCATAATGGACACTGGCCGGTGTATCCACATCATAGGGAAGAGTAAGAGTCTTCAGGCCACCTGGGCCCTGCTGTCTCTGAAGGCAGCATTTGCAACCTCAGCCTCTTCTGTGGAAGGTTGCTGTCCTAACAGGAAAGCAGGGCAGCACAGCAAACCTTCACTTGGATGGCTGACCCACCACACCCCTACTCTGTCTCTCAGAGTCTGTCTGTCCCAGGTAGCTGCCAGCACTGATCTATGGGCACAACCTTGGGTGAGATTTAAGCCAGAGGACAGGGGTGACTGGATGTCCTGCATTCTGTCTGTAGCTCAAGTTTTCCTGTATGTTAAAGTATAATTGAAAAACTGACAGGTCTCTCAGCACTGAAGCTTAGGCATTTTAAGATGGAGCACACCCCTTTAAGACTAGGAGCAACACAAAGTGGAAATCAAGGTTTTAAGACTCCCAGGCACAGTAGGCCTTTAGGACAGTGAGTGAGGCAGCTTCTATGGAGAGTGGCGTGTGGGCCACTTTCAGTTCATGGGCAGATGGCTTAGTGGTCCCTTCAAAGGAAGTGACAGGAAAGCTGGGAGCCCAGTCTGCAGGGTGGGAGGGAGGCCTCTGAGCTTACATCTCTGGCCAGCAGCAGAGCGGGCTGTCATCCTGTGCTGCCTGAGCACGAGATCGTTTGCATAGCTCATGTCAAAGACTGCTGGAAGACTTTGGGTCAGGTACCTGGTCGGGCATTTGATGAGCATAATTAAACAAGAGAAACCATCCGAAGGCACCTGCTGTGACACGAAATCCCATACACTGCCCTCTTCTGTGCGGGTAGCAGGGCAGTCCCGTGAGCTGTGTCCAGCTGTTATGCAAGGAGGTGGCCATGAGGAGCACAGTGGGGAGTCATGCTGAAGAGTTGGGAGGAGGGAGAACTGGGTGTGAGTGACAGCCCTGATCCTGGTGCTAGACAGTGGAACCTCTATCAGCATGGAGGCTGAGGCAACTAATGTGGTAAGATCTCACCACACTAAGCATTAACTGCATCTGTTTTTAAAAAGCCAACAGCTCGTCAAGGACGTGAACGCCAAAATTACCAGAATTCTCCAGAAACCAGTGGTTGCCAATGCTGTCCTCCCAGGGGACACAAATTCAGCCTTTGGAGATGGCAGCTCCGGCGAGCCTGGCCTGGCCTTTCTGACTGACCCAGGCTCCTCACACTCTCTCCAGAGCCCAGGAAGTCCTGAAAACCAGCTAGCATCTCCAGGAAAAATGCTTGGCAGCCCTGAGCTAGCCTCACAAGAAAATATTAGTTCTAATTTCTTGGACAAAAACAGAACGCCTACCTCCAAGACCCTCGAGGACCTTCCTAAGACAGCATCCCAACAGCAAGCAGAGACTCCTCACAGAGCCAAGATAGATAGCTTATGTGGCAGTGTCTCTGTGGCCGTGGCCACTTCACCTGGCACAAGCCCTAAAGGCGAGCCTTTGGCAGGTGTACCTGGCGAGGCCCTCACCTGCCCTGAGGACGTGGGCACCCCCGGCCCAGCAGATGGCACCCAGCTTCTTACCCCTACACATGCCTCTGGTCCTGATCATGCAACCCTGACCAGCCCCCCAAAAGCTTGCAGAACCCTGTCCCTGAGTCCTCAGAAAGAAGAAGCTACTGTTCAAGTGGCCAATTCCTCCAGGAGTGAACCCATAAGACTAGAGTTTGATCTCTCTGACGGCATCACCAGCAAAAGGGCCCTCCCCCCAAAGAGACTGGGAAAAAGACTCGGTCTCAAGCCTCCTGTGAAGAGAGCAGAGATGCGGCAGGAACGGCCACCCCAGAAGGTAGAAGAGCAAGGCAGTAGCCAAATGGCAGATGAGCACTCCATGCTGGCCCCCCGTGACTCTTGCAGCCATGATTGGGACAAGCTGGATGACCCAAACTTCAGCTCGTTTGGAAGAGACTCCAAGTGTGGTGGCAGCGAAGCCCAGCCCCCAGAGACCAGGTTGGCCCAGCCTGCAGCAGAAGAGCTAAGTGCCAGGCCTGGGGCCACGGAGGATGTGCATCCCAACCAGTAAGTGCAGGGTGGCTGAGATGGGGAAACTGGTCTTCCTTGTGGATGGTCCAGGGCCAGAGGCCAGGGTGCCACTTAGATGCTCCTTCGTGGTTGGGCATATTCCCCCTGGGAAGGGGCCTCTGGGCAAAAACCATGCTTGGGTAGCTCCGGACTGAGGAGCACAGCTGCTGGGTGGGCACTGGGTGGATGCCGAGTACAGCTTGGCTGTTCACAGAGGCACGTGTGCCACTCAGGAGAAGCCAGATGCAGCAAGCCCCAGAGTAAGACCCTGGCCTAGCTACACTGAGCCTGTTATTCCCTAGGGCAATACCCTCAAGCCCCATGCGTGCAGCTGTTCACGAGAGCACTTACTCATGTCACTGCTCAGCACTCTGACTCAGGCTTCCTAGCAGAGCCCCAGGGCCAGCCTCTCTCCAAGTGCCAGAGTCCTCCTGGCTGCCCTTCTCAGGCCAGGTCACCCCACCCCACTTGCCTGCAACCTGTGGTTCCCTTGGTTGTGCTGCAAGGAAATTAGGGTTCCTTGTGCTCATCTCAGAGCCACTGGCAAAGGCGCGTGTGTTCATGCTAAATGAGGCAGGTGAGAGCAGTGCTGCAGCCGGGTCACTGAGATTTTCCTGCACACCTGGCCCTCTCTAGCTGAGTGTTAACATGACCACCATAACAAACAGGTGGCAGTTCAGGGCGGGCACAGGGAGCATGGTGGGGGTGGGTAGTGAACATGCTCCTATGCTGTGTCTCTCCAGACAGCTATGTTCAGCCTCAGCTGGGGATACCCTGGTGCAGATGGCAGCCGAGACCTCAGGAGCAGAGGGCAAGGTACACGGTGTGCAATGAGTTTATGTGCTCTTATTCTGTCCAAGTAGGGAAGTAACAGGACTGGGAAGGTACTGGCAATCTTGGGTGACGGGGTGGGTATCCTACTGCCCTCTACCCGGGGTTTATTTTGACAAGATCATGGGTGTAGCAAAGTCCCACCCGGGGGACCTTCACCTGCACAGGCTAACTCTGACCTTCCCTCCAGGAGGGAACCTGGAATTCCTCAGGCACCTCAGTTTCCACAAGCTGTCCGGGAAGTGAGCCAGCGCCCCTGCTCCAGCAGGGGCTGGAGCCCGCCTTGGAGCTTCAGGAAGAGAGCTTCAGAGACCCTGCTGAGGGTGCGTCACCCCACATGTGTCACTCAGAGTTTGCCTGAAATGTGTCCTGGAAGTGCTTGTATTGGGTAGCTAGTTATTGGGCACCTGTTGTTCACAGGTGATCTAACCCCAACCCTAACCCTAACCCTACAGGCTGTTCTGTCCCCTGACTTTAAGTGATTCACACACAAGCTTCTGTTTTGTCAAAAGACAGTCATTTTCAGTAGAACAGGGCTGGTACCTTAAATGCCAAAGACTTCTAGAAATGAAAATTGCAGAATCATGAGAATGAGTAGAACATGTGAACAGGACAGTGCAGGAAGAGGGCACGAATGCGTGTGCTACAACTGGGCATTAAAGGGCGGTCCAAGAGTGGTGTTAGAGGCAAAACCTCTTAGCCAGGCGCAGTGGTCACACCTGTAGTCCCAGCACTTTGGAAGGTAGAGGTGAGAGGATTGCCTGAGCCCAGGGTTCAAGACCAGCCTGGGCAACTTGGCGAAAACTCATCTCTACAAAAAAATTCAAAAATTAGCCAGGCATGGTGGCACACACCTGTAGTTCCAGCTACTCAGAAGGCTGAGGTGGAAGGATCACCCCCACCTGCTGTGGCCGTGAGCAGGTGAGGGACAGGGTGAGACTCTGACTCAAAAACAAAACAAAACAAAACCTCTTGATGAAATGAGAAACCTGGAAACTTCTACCCCAGGTTGTGTTTAAATATGGTTCCATCTGTAAGACTGGAAGGTGGAGTGGTCATTAGGCTAAGGTATCTTCAGTAAGAAGTTGTTGGCTATAAGATCTTGGTTTTGGTAACACAGAAAATCCTGCCATTGAGAAGACTGAGTGTGGAATATAGTTTATCTCTGCAGGACATCCATGGGTACTCACCACATGGGGTTAGCTCAGTTAGGGCGGGCCTGTCACCCAATGCAGAGTCACCACAATCACACATGACCTGGTGTCTGGTATCACCCACGAGCACCATGTCCAGTGTTTCTTGGTTTTTGTTTTTGTTTTTTTTTTGAGGTAGAGTATCACTCTGTCACCTAGGCTGGAGTGCAGTGGCATACTCACGGCCACCACAGCCCCGACCTGCTGGGCTCAGGTGATCCTTCTGGCTCAGCCTTGCAAGTAGCTGGAACTTAACAGACGTGCGCCACCAAACCCGGCTAATTTTTTAATTTATTTATTGTAGAGATGAGGTCTCACCAAGTTGCCCAGGATGGTCTCGAATTCGTGGGTTCAGGCAATTCTCTCGCCTCTGCCTCCCAAGGTGCTGGTATTATAGGCATGAGCCACTATACCCAGCGTCTTCTTGTTTCTTTACCCATTCATTCCTCACAGCCACCTGTGCAACTTCTACTCTTGAGCTTTTCTAGGTAGTACCGCTGTGAATGCCTGGGTACTGTTGTGTAGGCACATGTTTTCCTCTTGGTGGATGCCTAGGAGTGGAATTGCGGGGTTGTGGTGACTCCATGCTCAGCTTTCTGAGGAACTGCAGACTTTTCCAGAGTGGCTGTCTGTGTCACACCACCATGCAGGAGGGTTCCAGCGTCTCCCCATCCTCCCCAGCAGTCGTTACCTGCCTTATTGCCCTGACCATTCTAGCAGGTGGGAAGTGGGTGTGCTTGTGACTTGGATTTGCATTCCAGATAACTGATGGACATCTTCTGAACACCTTTGTGTGTATCTCCTTTGGAGAAACATCTGTTCAGATTCTTAGCCTGTTAAAATTGGGCCCCTTAACCTTTGTTAATGAGCTATGAGAGATAAGTCCCATAGCAGATGTGATTTAGAAGTACTGTCTTTTTTCCTTTTCGATGGTGTCCTTTCAAATGTAAAAGTTAATTATGTCCAGTGTGTGTGTTTTCTTTCATTTTTGTTGCTTGCACTTGTGTCATATCTAAAAAATCATTGTCAAACCCAAGGTCATGAAGACTCATCCTTTTCCACTAAGAGTCTTATAGTTTTAACCCTTACATTTAGGTCCTTGGTCCATTTTGGGTTAATTTTTATATATGGTGTGAGGCACCGTTAGTTTTTTTTAACCAAAAGTCATGTTCAGGTGATTTTAAACAGCAGTTCCTGACCAGGAGGACACACCTGGGAGTGCTCCTGGCAGCACGTGGATGCAGAACAGGGGTGCTGCCCACCACCCTCCAATGCCTGGGACGCACCACCATGGGATGCATGTCTGTAGTGCCAAGGTGTGAATCCTGCTGTGAGGAAAAGGACCACCTCCCTGGGTCCCAGGTGGGGAGCTTCCAGCCTGGTGCTGGGAGTGTTCCTGCATCTGTTCCATAGTCCCACCTCATCCAGCACTGTGGAAGATGCTGATATGCAGCTCTCGGGAAGATAGGATACAGCAGGACGGGGACAGTGGCAATGACTTGCATCCTCTCAGTTCTAGGCATGGGGGCCGAGGTGGACTACCTGGAGCAGTTTGGAACTTCCTCGGTAGGTAGTGGGCTCTTTTGTGGCAGCCTCCCCTGCAGTGTGTGTCCCACATGTACTGTCACCCAGTGCATATGATGGGCTTCACTGGAATGTCACTCAGGGCCCACATTTCCCCCAGATACACCATGACTGGTTCTGAACGCCTCTAGGGCCCTTGCTTCTGCAGTTTCTCCCCTCAGTAGCAGGATTCTAACCTGGGTGCATACCCTAAGACAAACTTGGATGCACTGTGCTGCTGGGAAGGGTGGCCCTTGGCAGTGATCAGAGGCAGGAGGGTGTGTGATCTCTCCAGACCCTTTGCCCAGTGAGCAGATCAGATCACCTGGGCTCTCGGGGCTGCCATCCACTGGGACAGCAGTGACGTGCCCTTTCCTCCCTCAGTTTAAAGAGTCAGCCTTGAGGAAGCAGTCCTTATACCTCAAGTTCGACCCCCTCCTGAAAGACAGCCCTCTCAGACCAGTGCCTGTGGCCAGTGAGACAAACAGGTATGTGTACTCCTCTCCCATCTGTGAAGCTTTCAGCACATGCCTGCAAGACAAGTGACTATTACTAGGCACTTTTGATCAGAGACTTTAAGACTAAGGGGGACAATCTGAACTAGAAATGAGTCATGGGGACAGGTGGGCAGGACAGAGCAGGCCCAGGCCAGCCTCATGTGGCAATGTGTGATGTGAGCTTCAGTTCAGTGGTTGTGATGACAACCTACCCTCTCATCACAGGGTTGCTGCCTTGCTGGCCATGGACACCATTCTCAGTGGTTTAAAGCTCAACTTTTTTTAACTAGTACTTTCAGGAATATATACTTACCTCTGAAAGAGATGTGTACAATTTTTAAGAAGTAGTTACTCTAGCTCTAGCACAGAGGTCAGCAAACTACAAATGGCCTAGGAGCCAGACTTGGCCCACTGCCTGCTTTGTAAAGTTTTGTTGGCAAGGGCAGGCACAGTGGCTTATGCCTGCAATCCCAACACTTTGGGAAGCAGAGGCGAGAGGAGCCCGGGAGTTCAAGACCAGCCTGGGCAACTTGGTGAGACCTTGTCTCTACAATAAATCAAAAAATTAGCCAGGCGTGGTGGCTCCAGTTACTTGTAAGATTGAGGCAGAAGGATCACCTAAGCCCAGCAGGTCAAGGCTGTGGTGGCTGTGAGCGTGCCACTGCACTCCAGCCTGGGTGACAGAGTGAGACTCCAACTCAAGAAAAAAATAGTTTAGTTGGCATACAGTCACACCTATTCCTTTGCAAACTGTCTGTGGCGACTTTCACCCTATGAAGGCAGAACTGAGCAGTTATGACGGGCTGTGTAACCGTCACATCTGAAAACACTTCCTGTCCTGCCCTTGGTGGAAAGCGTGGGCTGACCCCTGCTCTGGAAGGAAGCAAGGGCGTGGTTATATAATTTTGTGGACGATCATTTACTAAGCATGATGTGAAACCCAGGAGACAAGGAGGAAACGTGTTGGCTGCACCCAGATGCAAATGTTAAGCCTCTGCCCTTTGAGCAACCCCACAAGTGAGGCAACAGCCAGCTCTACTGGGCCTGCGATGGGGTCAAAGCATCAGCTGTGCTCCTGGGGAAGGATATAGGATGGGCAGGGAGAGGGATAGGGGCTCAGGGAAGTAGGGGAGATTGGGCTTGCTGGATATGGTTCTGTGTTTTCTACTATGAATTGAATTTATTGATTTAAAACTAAAAAACAAAGAGCCTGTTAGAGTGAACAAAGCCGTCCTGCATGTCTGCGTGCCGAGGACATGAGGTGACAAGGCTGCCTCTGTCTAGTCTCAGCGCACCTGAAGCAGGCGAGCCTTCCTCGGAGGAGCCACGAGAAGCCCAGCTGGTGGAGGTGGATTTCTTGGGCACACTGGATGTTCCTGTAAGCCCTCCAGTCCCCCTGGAGGATCTTTTTGCGTTAAAGAGACATGTGTGGTTTAAGGGCCAAGGCGTCACGTTCTTGGTCTGGAGCCTTCCGCGCAGTTGGTGGGAACGTGGGGCTGCTATACAGGTGGGGCCAGGCACTGGTGGCTTCAGACTGGGTGGGTCTTTCCTCCCCGGCGCTGGGTCAGAAGTAGGAAGAGGTGAGTATGAGGCGGGCTCGTGTCTCATCCTGTCTCCCCACAGGTGCTGGGCCCAGCCCCATGTGTCCTTGCACCTGAGGGTCTGCCTCTGCCCACTGGGTCCATCGTGGACCTGCTGCAGTATAGCCAGAAGGACCTGGACGCAGCGGTAAGGACACGGGTGGTGGCTCCTCTGCAGAACTCGCAGGCTGTCCTGGGGATGGGCCAACAGCCGGGCACGGGTCTGTGGTGGGTCTGGCATTGGGTCCGATGGCCTGGCTGGCTGTCCTTGCTCCTGCTCAATGCCTGTGTCCCACTCCACCCCAGCCTGTCACTGCTGCCCAGGTGGCTGAGAATCAGGATTTTTGTCCAGCATCGGAGCAGGCAGCTCCCATGGGCAGCCTCTATGTGGAACCATCGGATGGCTGGGACTGGCCCATGGAGAGGCACCAGCCTGGGGTGTGGCATTCGTCTCAGGTGATCTCAACAGTGTTGAGAGTGGCAATGCTGCCATGAACCTGGGTTTTGCCCCTGCCTCCCCCCCCCCAGTCCCCACGCAGTTCTGGATCAAAGGTGACCTCTTTACCTTCCCAGGTATAAGAGTTCCTACCCTGTTTCCCTCTGTCCTGGACATGCTGAGGTTTTAGCTGATTTTAACTCTGGGTCGGAATCACCTCTCAGAACTGTGGACTCACTGGGGACTGAGGGTGGCACCACTCTGAGCCGCCATTGCCCAGCAATCTCCAAGGAGGTGGGAACAGAGTGGCCCAGGAAGTAGCTGGCAGGGCTGGGACTCAAGCCCCTAAGTCTGCTCTGGCTTTGCCAGTTGTGACTTCAGGTGTTCTCTCAGTGGCCTGAGACACAGCCCTGACCCAGATGCCCCACACCCCCTCACCCTGTGCCAGACCTCACCAGAGCAGGCCCATGGTCCACAGTATGGCCATCCTCTCCCCTCAGCAGGCCTGGACTGAAGAGGCTGGAGGCCTCTGCACATCCCTCAGAACCCCTGGTACCTGCTGCCCAGACATACCTGGAATTGAGTCAGGAGCCCTTGAGGCCCTGTCCAGGGACAAACTGGGGGACATGCACTGGCTGGGTGCCTATGGATCCCACAAGGTGGCACACAGCACAGCCAGCAGCCCCCGTCTCCTGGCCACATGGTTGGTTCCAGTGGGAACCTGCAACCCTGGATTGCAGGTTCCCACTGGAAGCCACAAAAGGGACACGGTGTGGGGAGGTTGGATCCCTGTGGGGTGCCTGCCTCTGACTTGGGCTGGTTTGAGCAGGTGAAAGCAGTGCAGGAGGAGAACCTGGAGCTGAGGAGCAAGTGTGAGGAGCTCCACGGGAAGAACCTGGAGCTGGGGTAAGGCTTAGCCACTCACCTGCCCGCCAGGCCTGCCTGGCTGGGGAAGGTCACAGACACTCGTCTGTTCTCCCACAGGAAGATCATGGACAGGTTCGAGGAAGCTGTATACCAGGCGATGGGTGAGAGTCCCAGCCCCTACATGGTGCCCAGCCCTGTGGGCACTCAGTGTGGCCAGGTCGGCCCTGCCATGGAACCAGTAAGGCTGGTGACAACCTGCACAGCCAGCACTCATCAGACCCCAGAATTATCCAGACCCTGAGCTGGCAGCTGGGTCTACAGTGGGGAAAAGATGCAGTCACCTCGTGGGTGCTACAGTCACTGTCTACCCTGATGCACCCTACTCTCCCATGTGGCTGTGTCCAGCCGTACCTCTGGGGGCTGAGCAGGACAGAAGCACCAGGCCTCACCTGGAATGAGGGCTCAGACTCCTGGTGGTGCCCCCCTGGGGACTTGTTTTAGGCAAAGTGTTGGCTGCGGGCAGGTCACTTCCTGGCCTCCTCTTATTTCCAAGAGCACTAGAACATGACCATGGCCTGGAGCTCACCACACTAGCTTCTATCTCCCAGATCTTGCCATGGACCCTGCAGGTATCTGGGACTCCAGGGACGTCTGTGGCTGCATCCTGAGCCTTGGTCCCAGGGCCTCTGGTTCCTGTGGCACTGATGTTGAAACAGCTGTCTTCTGGGCCTTGTGTCCCATCCCAGAAGGTCACGGAAGGAAGGGGGGCTTACCACCTATCAGGAAACCTGACCGGGGCTGTGCCTACGCGTCTCTACCCGCCTCCTGGCACCATGTTCCCTTGGCTGGTTTTCTCAGCCATTTCTGGCACCCATGTTTAGTTGCCCCTCTCATCCAGAGTCTTGCTTTTCTTTTTTCAAGAGGAGGCCCAGAAACAGAAGGAACTTGCCAAAGCCGAAATCCAGAAAGTCCTAAAAGAAAAAGACCAACTTGCTGCAGACCTGAGCTCCATGGAGAAGTCCTTCTCCGACCTTTTCAAGCGGTTTGAAAAACAGAAGGAGGTGATTGAAGGCTACCACAAGGTGTGCCCCACTGCCCTCACAAGTTCCGAGACTCATAGTCTAAGCTAGAACCTGCTCTTTGTACCTTGGTTGGGCCTCCCTTGGCCCCAGGACATGGGGCATCCCATGACTCAGGCGGGCTTTGAGGGAGTGAGGTTCCCATGACACTGCTGGGCTGCCAGGCCTCTGCCGAGGGTGGTAGAAGAATGCATGGGCAGAGAAGCCACAGAAACAGCCTGGAGGCAGGACGCGGTAGGCATAGCGGTGTCAAAGGAGACGCCAGGGCAGGCAGTGGTACCTGCCTTCTAGAAGGGTCCTGGGCACCCTCAGCATTTGAGCTCTCTGCTGTTGCATAAAGTATGACTTGACTACGATCAAAGATGCACAAGACCCTGGGTGACACTGGTGCACTCAGGCCCAGAGGGTGTCTCAGGAAGGAAGAACAAGCCTGGGCTGTCAGAGCACCTTGGCTCCAGGGGTAGGGGCTTACAGGAAGGGGGCACAGCTGCACAGGGCCACAGGCCACTGAGCCCCCTCTGCAGCATCCCGTCTCCCATGGTGGTGCCTCATCCCATGGCAGCCCCCTGTGCCTCTGCTGGGAAAGGCTGGCACAACACTTGCCAAGCAGGGCTGTCTGAGGACCCTCTGCCCAGAGTGGACCTGGGAGGTACCTGGCAGCTGAAGGGCAGTACTGAATCCTGCAAGGTTGCCAGAGGGTCCTGCCAGCAGGAATGGTGTTGGAGTGGTGCACCCACACCTCCTGTCCGGGTAGTGAACCTAGAAGCTGCTGCTTCTCACTCGCTGCTGCAAAGGCTTCAGCTGGGAGTGGCTGTTGCTGTTGCTGCGAGAGATGGAGTCTCAGGTGGTTGCCTAGGAGTCTCACTAAACTGGCAGGCCCTTGCCAGCCTGGCTCCCTGGCAGATGCAGCCTAAATACTCTATGGAAGAAGACATCCTAAGCCCTTGTTACTGCCACAGTTCTGTGAATCAGAGGATGTGCAGGCGTGAAAAGACACGAGAGGCATGAGAGTCAGAACTGTCTATAGAAACAGCCCCTGGAATCACCAGGTCCTGGTGTCGGCAGGACCAAGTGGGAGCAGGCGCCTTAGACCTGCTGCAGGGAACAGTTGGCAATGGTCCCACCCCACAGGCTGTGGCCTGGGTGCTGGGGCTGGCAGGTCTCTGGGCTGTCCTGTGACTTGAGGTAGTGGCTTTCCTTTTTTCCCCATGGTCTGTGCCATGCTCTGCTGGCTGCCCACTCCCGGTCTTACCTCTCAGAGCAGGCCCACATCTTGGCCCCCCGCTGCCCCTTTATTCATGGGGTCCCCTCTTGGAGGACCCCACGCAGATTTTAAAACAGCCACTCTTGAACTCAGCAGTGTTACTTCAGGAGAGACTAGGGAGCTAGAACAGGATGGAAACTGTTGGGAAAGTGAGTGACCAGAGCTGGAAGTTCAGTGGCCGTGCTTCAAGTTAGGAAAGTGAGGGGGGAGTCGGGGCTGGTGCAGGTGCAGCACAGAGCTGGGGTTGGAAACTGGCCTGACCCTTGCATAAGCGACAGCTGGTGGCCAGACACCTCACTTGGGAACTTTCCGTAAGCAGAGGGTTTTGGAGGTGGTGGGGATCTTGGCGGCACATCCTGGGCAGGCTGGGCAGGGAAAGCTAGAGTGCTGCGGGTGTTCTTGGGGGATGCGGGTTGCAGGAAGAAGGCAGGGAAGCTGGGAATCCACACAGAAGCAGCCACTAGACTTCCCGTATCCAGATGTCAAGTGGCCTGTGCTGTGCTCATGGTGGGAGACGCCAGGGCATCCCAGTGCACAGCCTGCTCTCTCCACAGTGCCAAGGTCCCGGTCATGAGGGTTAAGGGCTCAGACCTAGCATCCCAGAGGGTGGCTGTCCTGAACCTCCCAAGGGGTGGGCTGGGAATGTGCACAGAGGGACTTTTCCAAAAGGGAATGGGGGGGGGTTGCCTCACTCCTGGTAGCCTCATGAGCCTCCTATCTGCACCTGACCCTGCGGCCTCAATGGTCCTAAACATGAACACACGTGTCTGCTGGTCTCTTCAGAATGAGGAGTTGCTGAAGAAGTGTGTGGAAGATTACATGGTGCAGATTGACAGGGAGGCCCAGCGATACCAGGCCCTGAAGGCCCATGCGGAGGAGAAGCTCCAGCTGTGAGTGCAGTGGGGGTGTGGGCGGAGGTACCCCACAGAAGGGCTTGGTCCCTCAGCCCAGGCTCAGCCTCTGTCCCCACCCTTGCCCTCCAGGGCAAACGAGGAGATTACCCAGATCCGCAGCAAGACCCACGCGGAGGCCCTGGCCTTCCAGGCAAGCCTGAGGAAGGAGCAGATGCGAGTCCACTCACTGGAAAAGACAGTGGAACAGAAGGTGGGTGTGGTGCCAGCCTCCAGACTTGGGCCCACCTCGGAGCTGGGCTACCTGGCAGCACCTTCCAGGAGACCCTGGGCCTGCCTGTCCCTTTATAGCCTGTGTAGATGGTCCCAGGCAGGGCAGGACTCCTGGTAGTCGCTGATCCCTCTGGGTGACCTGCTGAAACCTAGCAGTTCCTCTCCTCCAGGCCAGAGAAAATGAGGAGCTGACCCGGATCTGCGATGACCTCATCTCCAAGATGGAGAAGATCTGATACCCCTCACCCTCCTGGCCCTCTGCTTGTCTGTTTCTTTAGGTTTAGTGTGCTTTCTTCTGTCTTACCTTACTCATTTTTAACTAGATTACATTCAAAAGCAGTAAATAAAGCTACCTTGCGTGCCCGTTTGGACTAAAGCTAGGGCTTTCCAGCTCTGCCTGAGGCTGAGCCCCCATAGCACACCCCCCCGCCCCACCTTCCTGGCCCCTCGGGCTGCCTGCCACACAGCTCCTCTATCGCCACTTCCCTCAGGCAGGCACCCTGGAAGGCAGGACTGCTGGTGGCCCAAGGGGTCCAACCCAGCCTGGTCACCACGGCCTGCTTGGGTCAGCTACATGGTGCTGGCATGGAGGCTGGCCCCTGCCTCCAGACCATAGACCCAAATCCATGTGGACTCCGGTTTTCATGTGAAACCATGAGCAGCCAAAGTGAGGAAGGGTCTGGAGTCCACCCAGGGAGCATCCAGCTTCGTCATCAGCACTCAGCATGGGCAGGTGTGACCATGACATGTTAACACACACCTGCTGTCAGGGTATGGAGGTGGGCCTCAGTCATGTGGCAAGAGGCTTCCTTGTGGAAAGAGAAATTCCATCCCACGACTCCAGGACTGACGAAATGGGACCTGGGGCCGTCCCAGCAGCCCTGATGCACACGCTCTGGCCAGCCAGGCGTCCTAGACCCCTGGGCCCAGGCACAGAGCTGAAGGGAGACTGGCAAGGGCTGGGCCTCCTGAGTGTCTAGGTGGAGCTGGCAGCTGGGGGTAGGGAGGAATGTTGCGGGAGGCAAGGTATCCACACAGGGAGAACCAGGCTGAGCCCCACAGCCCCCGCCCCCACCTCTTGGCCCCTCGAGGTTTCCTGCCGCACAGTTCCTCCGTCCCCACCTCCATCGTGTGACCCTTGGAGTCTCCAAGCATGGGGGACCTGCCTCAGAGACTGCAACTAGGACTGACTGACGGGTGGGAGCAACGACACACCCGGCTGCCGCCAGGGGTCGCTGTGAGCCACAGGCCACCTGAAGGTTCAGGGGACTGGCGTGGCCACCACCCCGAGAGGGTGTGCCACAGGAAGGCTGAGGAGCAGGTAGGGGCTCCAGAGATGGCAGCCGGGGTGGGCCAGGTTCTGGATGGCCAGTGGGGCATTCCTGGCCCCACAGGTGGGAGGGTGGGTGTGTTCTTAGTCCATTTGTGAGAAGGACTGCCACAGTGGACCAGCCCAGCACTGCTGGGGATCGGTCCCTGGAGGCACTAGGGGCCACTGCCCCAGGTCTCTCTCCCCGTTCCCACCAGACCTCTGCCCTCCCAGCTGGCCTACTGGGACTCTAACTCCTTCCCCAGGCGTGACCCCCATCTCAGCCCTCCCTTGGATAGCAAGTGGTGCCATCCCAGGCTGAGGGGCCTCTGAGAGCCTGCCAAGGCCACATCACAGACAAGAAACAGGTCCCCGGGGAGAGGCCAGGCCGGATGCTGGCTACGGGCCACACCTCCCCTGCCAGGGGTCTGATGGATGGGGAGGCGGAAGGGACCTGAAGCCTCCAGAGCTCACCAGCTGCCCCGTGGCTAAAGGAGCTGCCATGGGCACTGCTGCCTCGGCGTCCTCACCTGCCCACAGGCATGTCCGACCACAGGGTTTGCACCTCCACCTTCAGGGTCCGGGTCTGCTCAGAAGAGGCCTCCAGAGACAAGGTGGCAGCCGGAGCAGACTCCTCACCAGCTCTGCCAGCCTGGCTTCCCTGACTCTGATGCTGCCCAGAGCCTTGTCTCCCACTAGGGCCTCTCCAAGCCAGGAGTCTGCCCGATGAAGTCCATGCAGGATGGCAGGACAGCTGGACGTGTCGGGGCAGCCGGCCTGGCCTGGGGCTGCGCCGAGGACACCGGCCACCAGGCAGCATCCTGGGCCGGGAGCCTCTCTTCCAGGACAAAGGGGCCTTGTGTGGCTGAATGGGTGTTTATCCTGGAGCCCGAGTTAACTCGGGGCAGCTTCCTCGGGTAAACATGACCCGCCTGGGCACACAGCGGCGGGGCTGGACTGCCACAGCCCTGAATCCCCTGTACGTCTATGCAGATGGCGCGTCGTGGGCCTCCCGCCGTGAGAGGGGACCCGGGGAATGGGGCTGCCCTGGGGGCCGCCTTGAGTCCTCACTGCTAAGCAGGAGGAAGGAGGGAGGATTATTGGGGTAGCAGCCACCACAGGCTGCCCCATCTTCCAGAGCCTGGGAAGTAACTGCCACCGAAATGCCTGCCTATGGTGTGGGGGCTTGGCAGAAAAGCATCAGGGTTGGATAAGGCCCTGAGGGTGGGGCCCTGGGCTAATGGGATTAGTATCTCTGTAAGAAGGAGGAAGGATGACTTGAGGCCAGGAGTTCCAGACCAGCCTGGGCAATGTAGTGAGACCCCATCTCTACAAAAAATTTAAAAATTGGCTGAGCATAGTGCTCACACATGTAATCCCAGCTACTCGGGAGGCTGAGGCAGGAGGATTCCTTGAGCCCTGGAGGTCAAGGCTACAATGAGCTATGACTGCAGCACCGCACTACAATGAACATGGGTGACAGTAATACCCTGTCTCTAAAAACAAAAGAAGAAAAAGAGAAGAGAAGAGACCAGAAGAGCACTCTACCAGGTAAGGACACAGCAAGGAGGCAGCAAGCCAGAAAGAGGCCTCCCCAGGACCTGACCCTACCAGGCCCCGACTTCAGACCCCAGCCGCCTAGACCAGGAAGAATGCATTTCTGTCTGTGTGCAAGCCAGCTTTGGTGTTCCCTCAGTGCCTGGGCAGTATGAGACCCCCATCAGAAGGACTGCCTAGCCCAATGCCCACCCGCTGCCCAGCTGTCCCCGAGGCTGACATCCACATCCCAGGGGAGGCCACAGAACCCAGCTCATATGGAGAAGCCAGGTCTGTGGGGCAGCCCACCACCCTGAGACCACCTTGGAGTCGAGCCCAAGGCTGCTCCCCTGGGCTGGTCTAGACCCTGTCCACAGGGCTAGCCCAAGCTCAGTCCCTCAGGGTTCCTCTCCAGGGGCTGCAGGCCATGAGAAGGAAAGGAGAAGGACAGATAACCCCTGGGGAGACAGGCCAGGACAGGCTGAACCAGGCTCCAGTGCTCCCCACCCGGTATCACCTGCTGTTACCCTTGCTCTACCCTGGCCGACCCAAGTTCCAGGGAGAGGGTGCTCCCTGCCCCAAACCTCCAGTGCATTCCCTCACCCAGTGCATTCCCAACACTGGCCTCCCCAGCCCCACCTGGACTCACCCTGCCAGGCTAGGTACCTCATGGAAGGGGTGGGGAGGGGCTGGTCCCCTGGGGCTTACTGTGAAGCCAGCTCTGTCCTGGAAGTCGCTCTCATCCATGGTTCCCAGCACGGCATGGTGTGATGGGGCATGGTTCCCAGCAGGGCAGGTGCAGACCCCCACCCAGGTTGAGCCTAAAAATCCCCTAGGCCCCACAGGTCCCAGCCAGCATGGGTCACTGCATGCCAGTGGGTGCCCAGAAATTCCTCCTCCGTTCCATTTGTGAAGGAGCCCTGGATACACTTCTGGGCACTGGTGACCGGGACACTCAAACCCGGGTTCTAGACTCCCTCTTGTGGAACCCTCAGGCTCCCTGGTGGCTGAGCCCACATCCCTTGACCTTGCTGGGGAGATCTATGCAGGGTGGGGCCTGGCCAGCCGTCACCCAGGAAGTAGGAGCATGTGGGGAAGGGCTGGATCCCATCCCTGAAGCTGCCTGAGATGGACAAGGCCAAGGAGGGGCTTCTGCCCAGCCAAGGCCTTCCGTGGGGTGTGCTCAGGGGGCGGGGCATGTGTCAGGTGTGCTGTGAGGTGGGGCTGCACTGTGCGTTCTGGCGCCCCTGTGACCCTGCTACTGCACGCTGTTGGGGGAGAGCCAGGTTTCTGCCTGTCAGTGGATCAAGCCTGCAGGGGGCGCCTTCGAGTCGTCCAAGCCCTCCTGCCCACCACGTTGGGTGATCCTGCTCTCTGCCCTGCCTATGTGGCCCTGGCTATGGGTCCCTGTGACTCGCACTGGGGGTGTCGAGGGGCCACCTAGCCACCAGGCCCAAACTGGCAGTCCCTGAACTGCTGGGCTTCATCCCACGAGGGCCCTGCCTCCCCATGTTCCTGGACTCTGTGAACTGACCAGGCCCCTCAAGGCTGGTAGAGGGCAGGGACCATCACTGCTGTTTTGGGCGGCCTAGTGGGGGCTTCGGGACAAGAGCCCCTGGTGAGGCCCAGGCCCTCCTTCCCTCCCTCCCCCAGTCCCATCCAGCTCCATGCAGTGTGCTCTAGACACACTCGTGGAAGGGTGGTTGGGGTCCACTCGTAGGAACCATGGGACTTGGGGGGCTGTCCCGACGGGAGCCACGGTGTGGGCAGAATCCCAAGGGAGGCCTCAGGGCTGCGGGGACCACAGGGCTGAGACCCCATCACACCCTGCCCTGCTGGGAACCGTGGATGAGAGCGACTCCCAGGACAGAGCTGGCTTCACAGTAAGCCCCAGGGGACCAGCCCCTCCCCACCCCTTCCATGAGGTACCTAGCCTGGCAGGATGAGTCCAGGTGGGGCTGGGGAGACCAGTGTTGGACAGGGCCCCAGGGCTTCTGCCTGGGGTGTCTGAGGACCTGGGCACTACAGGCTGCTGCCCAAAGCCTGTCTGCCCCTCCGCCCCACCCCTACCTCTAGCCAGGCCTCATGGGGCCCCTCCCAGTGTCCTGATAGACGAGGAGCAGAGGCTAGGCTGTTGGCTCTGGGTAGACCCCTACCTAGATCTTCCAGACTCCTCTCTACCCACCCTGGAGCCAGTGTGCCCATCCCCCAATCTGCCCATGAATGGGTGGGACCCTGAGATGCTAAGATTTCTTCATATACGGTCATTCTGTCATCTCATGTCAAATGTGACCGGAGCAATGTCTCTGTTCCGTGGTTCCAGGACCCGGGGCAGGACGGGCACAAAACAGTCTGTCCTGCTCTGTGGGATATAACTTCTGGCCAGGGGTGGGTGGAGGGAGCAAAGTGAGGGAATCAGTAAATATGTGCATGAACACACAGACACACACACACGCGCGCGTGCACACACACACAGAGAATGACAGGTGACAGTGACATGGGGGAAAGGGTTAGAG